CATATATCTTTGTTTCTCATTTTGTCCAGAGCTTTCGAGACGCAGATGATGGCAACTAGATTCTTGATTTCGAGGAATGCATCTAAAACCCTCAGTCAATTTCTTCTACCATGTCTCCTGCAATCTCACTTCCTCACTCTGAAATCTCTTCCCCGAAACTCAAGAGCCTTTTCGTCCGAACCTCCTGCCTTTGCCTCCGATAACCGTGTTCCCGCTACCGTCATCACTGGTTTTCTCGGTTCTGGAAAGGTCTCTAATCCGTTTTACTATTGATTTCTTGACTTCATCTCCAGTTTCTTTTTCCCCTTTTTTTAATGATTTTTTTTGACTGAATGCAGACTACTCTCTTAAATCATATTTTAACTGCACAACATGGAAAACGAATTGCTGTTATCGAAAACGAGGTACTTGGGAGCGATTGTTTTAGATTTGCATGCTTCTAGGTTAGGTTTTCATTTTTCGGTTAAACGTAGTAGAATTCATTGCTGAGGAATTATTCTTTTTCAATATGATATCTGTCCCGAGAAAGAAAGAAAAAAAAAGAACGAGGAGAGAGAGGAGAACCATTGCTGCTGATTTTGTGAAGGTAATTTCAGTGATAAATTTGATTAATTGCAATGCAGTTTGGTGAAGTTGATATTGATGGATCATTGGTTGCTAGTCATTCCTCTGCATCTGAAGAAGACATTGTCATGGTAAACAATGGTTGCATTTGTTGTACGGTGCGGGGAGATCTAGTTAAAATGCTATTGGAGCTGGTTAAGAACAAAAAAGACAAATTTGACCATATTGTTATAGAAACTACAGGTAACACCTGGTTCTCAGTTAGGTTTTACAGGTTTGAGTTACTTGGTTTATGATATATGATGCAAATTGCTAAGTTTTATTCTTAAATGATGTCTGCATAAATTGTCGGCGCGGGCCACCTATTCAATGCATCCAATAACCTGCTAAAAGCTTCTCCACTTCATTTAGTTGTTGCTTGTGCTTGCAGGCCTTGCTAAGCCAGCTCCTGTTATCGAAACTTTTTGTTCTGATGAACTGGTTTCACGTTATGTGAAACTGGATGGAGTTGTCACTTTAGTTGACTCAAAGCATTCTATGAAGCACTTGAATGAAGTTAAACCAAGATTTGTTGTGAATGAGGCAGTTGAGCAGGTTGCTTATGCTGACCGTATAATTTTGAACAAGGTGAACTTTGATTTCTATGTTTCTCAATTGATATAGTCTTCTATGTGCATCTTGATCTTCTACTGTAGTCATATTGAAATATGAGACATAACCTTTTAGATATTAGTAACTCTACTATTTGTAATGCTGTTTACTTGCTTCAATTGTTATGCAGATAGACTTGGTCACTGAGGACGACTTGGAGAAACTGACTGATAAAATCAAGGTACAGATTTCCTATTTCCATTACTATGAATTTTGTTCTTGCCTTGGTTTGTAAATTAAGGAAAGGATTAGCACCACGTTTTTCTTTTCTCTGCTGAGTTTTCTGTTTTTATTAGCACTATGCTAAAATTGGGTTTGTTAAAATTTATGATTTTATGCTTTCCAGCATATTAATAGCATGGCACAAATCAAGAGAGCAAAATTTGGAGTTGTCGACATGGACTTTGTTTTGGGGGTTGGAGGATATGATCTTGATAGGTAACTTATGTTTCACTAGTTGACCATTTGAAAACAACTTGTTTTGCAATTATTTCTCCTGGTGTATTCAAATATTTCTTCACTCTCTTGCTTTCTTCACTTGTGTATCTGGTATCTTTTCTGAAAGTTCAAAATCCTTTATTTTGCAGAATTGACACTGAAGTTAATGTAGATGATTCTCACCGTGGCAACCATCAACATGACACACATAGTAGTATGTTGTCTTTTTCTATTTCTTTCCTTTGTTCCTGCCTATTTTCCTCGTTTGTCCATAATAAGAGATAATTTTAAGAACAATGGGCTGGAATATTGATGATATTGTGGAATTTCATTTTTGTGGATAACTTTGTCCTCTGTTAATTCATCTGTTCTGTCATAAAGTTATGTCTATGGTATCTTGAAATTTATTCTTTAATTTTGTTTTAATCTTTATTTTATTTTTGGACTTTATAGGACACCATAAGGAGCATCATCATGATCACGTGCATGATGCTGCTGTATCTAGTGTTAGCATTGTATCCGAGGGAACCCTTGATCTTGATGAGGTAAGAAATACTTTCTAAAACTGCAGCTTTTCAGTTTCCTCAGCATGAAGTGGTTGAATTACTTCTAATTATCACAATTTATAAGTGACTTAGGATTTGGAGGGAGGATGCAATATGCCTGATAAAATTGTACGTGTGTTGTGCTGTAATGTTGTAAATTTAGGGCCTGGTGATTGAGGTGGTCTATGCTCGTAGATTTTATAGCTGAAAATTTGAAATATTGAGAAAATACAAACAGGTGTAACCATCATTCTTATACCGGAAAATAAACTTGCATCAGTCGATGAAATTAGTTCATCTGAATGTGGATGAAGCAGGTTGATGATTGGCTTGAAAGATTGATGGAAGAGACAGGGGAGGACCTATATAGAATGAAAGGAGTCTTGTGTGTGAATGGCTCCGATCAGCGTTATGTTCTTCAGGTGCCTATCATTCACCCACGTTTCTAATTACCATTTGTTCCTTTAATGTCATCTGAAACTGTGGCTACGATTGCAGGGGGTGCATTCGATGTTGGATGGCTGCCCTGGGAAAACATGGGAACCTCATGAGAAGAGAACAAACAAGATTGTATTCATAGGGAGAAATTTGGATGAAACTGCCCTTAGAAAAGGTTTCAGAGGCTGTCTTGTTTGATATAAAGCAAAAAAGGATTTCCTAGTATTAGTTTTGTTTTGATCGGAATGTAATTAATCTCCATTTTCTTCTACCGTTAAGGTTGAATTACCAAAACAAAAAGGAAACGTTGAGTTTTTATGAAGAGTTGTTGACTTCATTCTTGTAAAATTTCTATTTTTTTTTTATCTTTGAAGTGTAGATTTTTCTTTCATCCAATCAAGTTACAAATTAGAGAGTGGATTACATCAACGTGATTTGAATTCTGGTCTTGTCAACAAAGGGCTTAAAGCGTTACTGCTGTTGCCTTGAAGTGTAGAATGCGTTAAATCAGGTAAATGATTCTTTTTTAATTAAGACTCATGTTAGCTTACCAATAACAAGATGAATTAATAGGATAAGACATTCGATTAGTAAACTGTTCTAGGAGGATCGTCCTCATAGTGAACTTTTGTAAAATTTAATATGGATTAATCGATCAATATTAGATTTAAGTGATAAATTCAAAAAAAAAAGTGCGAGCTTTGATCCATTTATACAGCGTTATACGCTAGTTTTGATAGTGTAAAAATACATCTGTAAATTTAATTTTTAGTTTAATCATATATAATCAATTTTATTTTATTTTTGATTGTATACGGATTTAGAGAACAAGTAAATCAAGAGTTTTTTTGTTTTTGTATATAATTATGTATATATATAATAAATAAACTTAAAACGAAAAGACATTAGTAATGTATTAGTCGTGTGCCTATTTTATTAAAATCGAATTAATGTGTATAATCACATAAAAATACTTGAAAATTATTTGTGTACCATTACAAAAAAAAAATTATGTATCATATTACACAGGAATAAAATTTTATATATAATTTATATACAGGAAGACTATTCAATACGGACTTGATTAGAGTCAGCCTCCCTCCTGTCAACAGTAAATTGCTCTTCCAGTTAGCAAGCCTATCCTTGAACTTATTTTCTACCGATTTTTGCAGAGAGATGTTATTTGCTGATGCACCCAGAGGTATTCCCAGATAATTTGAAGGAAAAGATCCCTTACAACATCCAGTAGAAATTGTCAGAGAGATCAAAACATTATCCGAGATACTAACTCAAATAAATTTGTCTTCTTTAGATTGACCTGATACCAGCTCAAAAGATCTAAGGACCCTCTTAATGTTTCTGACTTGTACCTCACTAGTCTTGGCGAAGATGATCAGATCGTCAACAGGTTGGAGTTGTGATAACGAAAGCCCCTCATCTGTTGCAATGCCATTAAAAAGCCCTATAGCGAGAGCATTCTTCAATACCACACTTAGGCCTTCAACAACAATATTAAATAAGAGTGGTGACAATAGACAACTTTCTGTCAATCCCCCTTTTAGAGCGAAAAGACCATTAACCAACATCGAAAGGCTGTAGAGATGCAACATCTCATCCAATTGCACCATCACAAATCTGCTTTGTATGGGTAAAGGAAACAATGAACTTAATATAACTTATGAGACTAAATAAAATTATTAATTAAACTAAAACATATAATTTAAACTATAAAAGAGGCGATGAAAAGAAACAAATTTGCAACTGACGATTTATCTACAATTGATATTGTTACTAATGATAAAAAAAATATGAAGAAAAAAAGACGAGCAGCGCAAAATAAAAAGAAAATAATAACTTTTATAAATATTTAAATGAAAAAAAAGAAACGAATTTTTAATTATTACAATTCAATCTGTGGTATAAACAAACGATCGAAGACAAAAGACAAGGAAAGGGCTAAAAGGGATAGATTCATTGTACAGCTTATTTCACGGGCAATTGTTAGGGCTGAGCAGAAAAAATATCTCGACACGTGTTCTATCCTCATGTGGGCCGACCGGTGATGCCTCCTGAAATGACACTTAAGCCCTCTCATGTGGGCCCGCCACGTGACCCTTCCCATATTCAATTCCTCTTGTTGGCATCCGAATATTCCACGCTGGCACTTGCGTGTCACCTGCACGAACTCTTTTTCACAAAGAAGCCGCATCAGCACCTTCCCTTTACTCTCTCACCGTTGGATCATAAAAAATCAGAAGATCTAACGGTTCAATCCCTAATGTAGAAGCACCCCGGAGAATTAAAAATATATATAGTGTTTTGAGTCCGCGTTTGTTTTGTTCTGATTGCAATCATGTTTGTTTGCTCTAAGATTCGTCGCCGAGCTTTCCTCTGCATGTTCTTCCTTTTCAAATATAGATATAAAATTCACCGCCCACTTCTCATTAAAAAACATATATATATATAAATGAAGTTAAAACAACAAAAAAGTTGACATTTTTGGCGTTCATGTTCTTATTTATTCTTTCTGTTTGACATTTTTTTGGATTTGGATATTCATCACAATTTCGGTTTAAAGAGAGAATTGAAGTGGTTTTGTTTACTTTGATGTAATGGAGAGATTAAGCTACGGTGGTGCTTGCGGCGGTAGCGGGAGCTATGGTTATGAAAATGGGGTGGTGATGACTCGAGACCCCAAGCCCAGGCTGAGATGGACGGCTGATCTTCACGACCGATTCGTCGACGCTGTAACCAAACTCGGTGGTCCTAACAGTTAGTCTTTCTTCCTCTGTTTCTTCCATTTTTTGTTTCTTTTACGGTTGATTGTGTTTAAAAAAGCATTGAATCTTGAGGATATAGCAATCAACAATGTCATATGCATTAGCCATTCATGAATTAATTAGCATCATTTGATTGAGAAATTCTGTTTACAGAAGCAACTCCAAAGTCTGTCCTAAGACTGATGGGCATGAAGGGCTTGACATTATACCATTTGAAGAGCCATTTACAGGTATACAAAGATATGGGCATTAATTTTTTTAAAAAAAAAGTTTCATGTTCTCAGTATATTTTTCAATAATTTTGAAAATTTTATATCAAAATTTGCTTAATCCTGTTTTTTTTTTCTTTTTTCTTTCTATAGAAATATAGACTAGGACAGCAGTCAAGGAAGCCAAATGCAGTAGACCAAAACAAAGAGAACGGTGATGTAGGGAGTTCATATGTACAATTTAGCAATCATTCTTCAGGGACCATCACCAATTCACCCAGAGCTGACAATGAGAAAAGGTAAAATGCAAATTATATCTTACCTCTGTTTACCAATACCTAATTCACTTTGTGTCAGAATTTCATGTCTAGGGTTGAACTTCTAAAATTTTAGAGGAACGAGAACTTATAAAATTCTGGGATGAAAACGAATTATCAATAGAAAATATAAAGAAAATATCTAAAATATATGATATTTGAAAATTTTAGGGGTGACTGTCCTGAGCCGCCCCTTTCAGTCCATACCTGAATTCCTAACTGATGTGCAAATGCAGCAGACAAATGCCAATGGCACAGGCACTGAAGACTCAGATGGAAGTACAAAAGACATTGCAAGAGCAACTAGAGGTTCATTTATTCCCTTGAAGGAACATATACAAGTTTCGAATTCGATTGTTTCGAGCTTCTGATTTTCGATTAAATCTGTAGGTACAGAAGAAATTGCAGATGAGGATAGAGGCTCAAGGGAAGTACTTGCAGGCAATATTGGAGAAAGCACAAAAGAGTGTTTCATTATATATCAACCGTGGAGGGAATGTAGATGAAACAAGAGCACAATTAACAAAATTCAACTTGGCTCTCATGGACAATGTGAATGAAGCAGACAGTAAATCAAAGGCAGAACATATGACTGATGTGATGCCCATGAAACCCAAATGTTCTGCTAATTTGCAAGATTATGGAGTAGGAGAAAGAGAAGAAAACAAAGACGTTAAGCCTAAAGCTGGAGGAGATTCCATAAATTTTGACCTAAATACCAAAGATAGTTATGAGTTTGTTGCTGTAAATGGAAACGAGCTTCAGCCTCGCTTGTTTTCTTATAAGAGATTAAATTAAAAATAAAACAATGTAGTTATGAATTTATTTTTACAGTTTCCTCGAGTTCAGTTTTATGTTTTGTCTATTGTCATCTGCAAATCAAACAGACAAAATAATTTATACGCGTTAATCTCTCTTTGTTTTCTTTTTTCAGTTTATAACTAAATTAAGTATTTAAATTGCCGTTGCGATCGTGTTTTCGATTGCATTATATTTATCGCAATTATAGATACAACGGATGTTATTACGGTCATACAATAACAGTTTCGAATGATACTGTTATTGTTGTATAACGACCACTATTTTAATAGTGGACTGCTATTTAAATCATTGATCTAAATACGACCCAAGTTTTTTTTCTCCCACGTGAAAACTTTTTTCCCTAAGTTTTCATTTTCTAGCATTTGTTTTCATAGATCGGCTCAACTGGATCTCTTTAGACCTAGTGAAAACACTTTTAAGTGTTTGATCACTATCATCCATCGTTTAATATCATTGATTTTAAAACATATTGCTCACATTACTGTGGGAAACATTTCCACTGTTAGGATCTTTGATTCACCGATCGTAATGCTCCTTTTTTTCCCTTCAGATGTTTTCCTCTCTCCATAACCTAATGCTTGTAACTTCTCCATACATTTTTTTGTTTTAGCTTTATAGGTTTGGACGAGGCCCGTCCATTTATACGTGTGACCTATGATATGTCACAATTAAAATTTAGGGGTCTCACACATGAATGTCATTCATGTCCATCCATGTACAATCTTTTTGCCCTAACGATATTTTCGTTCGAAGGGAAAACAAACGTTTTGTTTGGTTCTCGGGAAAGTGATAGAGAAAGTTATAGACAAAGATTTTGACAATATCTTTAATCGTTTTATATAATGAATTTTGATAAAAAAAAAGACACCGTAAATCCTTCATAATTTTAAATTTAACAATTGAATTATTATTATAAAATATTTTAAGAACTAAATGCAATACAATACCGTCCATCTTTTAGGACGGGCCTGATATGATATTATCACCATCTAAGGATTAAGCCGTCTCAAGCATGGATGACTTGCGGTGAAATCATAGGATTCCACCATGCAAAACTATATGATGGTTCGTGGTCTCCACCTCTGGTCAAGCCATGGTCAACTCCGAATCATACTTGGATACTTGCTTGGATTCTTGAAGCAACTGTTGGGCTGGTTTTGGGCCATATGAACTCGTCGAGGGCTGTGCAGGCCTAGTTGGGAAGGGCACATGGCCTAGTAAGTCAATCATAAATTTAAAAAAAAAATATTTAACCAATAAAGAAAATAATCTTTTTACATTACCAACCCAAAATATTGAGACCGCCAAATAAAGCATAAAAAAAATATCAACTCTTCTTTATAAACTAAAGTTACCCCTCTTTCACCATAATCAAAGAGCATCTCAAATGCGTTACGGAATTCGCAAAGATATACTAGTCTTCACACATAACTTGATGTAGAGATGGATAAAAAAGGTGGATGGAGATAGTCGTCTCTTTGAAAATTTTAAATTAATATATATCTTAAATATTTTCTTTATATTTTCAATTGATAATATATTTTCACCATCTAGAATTTTATAAATTCCCTCTCTCCTAAAATTTTAGAAATTCGTTTCATCTAACCTAAAATCGGCGTCTATTCACGACCTCATGCGAATCAATGTAAAAAGGCTTAAAAAAAGTTTTATCAATTTCATATTATAAACAATTCGATTTAAATTTTATCTTGACGAGTGTGCAATATGATAGTTCAATTAGTTCCAATGACGAAGAAAATTAATCTAATTAGCTCAAAATAGTTCGAGTCAATCAATTAAGTGAAGAGAAACTCGACATTAGCAATTTCAGATTTGAAGGTCATTGTTGAGTGTATGAGCTGTTCAGGTTATCGCATTGGCAAGAGCATACAATGGTATACAGTTTTTTTTTTTTGTTGGTCGAGGACTTGTAAAACTCAAATGAAATTTTATATCTTATAATTTTTTAATTAGTTAAATTGATTTTTTAAATAATATTTTAAAAATCTGTGTTTTAGAAGTTTCTATTTTTTTTCTTTCAATTTTAGAATTTTTATGATTTAATAAAAAATCAGATTTTATGTATTTAAAAAAAAACTAAAATTAAATTAATTAAAATATAAATTTTAAGGACTAAAAATCATTCTATTTTTACAAAAATTCTACGTTAACAACCGATAGAGAATCTAAAAAAATCATCAATTATTAGTTGATCTAACAAAAATAGAATGTGATGTTAGATCATTTTAAGTTTAGTCAAATGTTTGAATCATAGTGTTGTGATTGTAATAAGTTAAATTAGAATAGTCATATTCCCATGATGAGATTTTGTAAGACCTAATTTGAATTAATTAACCAATGAATTAGATATTGATAATTATTTTTTTAAATATCATATTAAAAAAATTAATTGAGATCAATATTTTAAAATTGAAAATAATATGGATTCAGTTACAAAATCAACCTAACATATATAAACAAAATTAAATAGCATAGTGTGGTCTTCGTTGGCTTACCGGCCGTTGAAAACAGTTGATTGAATTATCGGCAATATCTCACCTTACCAGCTACGAAAATTAGTAATAAAACGAAGGCATTATATGGCTTGAAGCAAAAGTATAAATGTGACTGTGAACCCAAAGCTAAGTAAATTTAATGGTATAAAAAACTTAGAAAACCCTACAGGAGATCATCTGAAAGGCAAGAGATCAATTAGTGTAAAAGTGAGAAGAAAAGATCATATTGATGGCCATGAAAAGCAAAGTGCTCATCGTCGGGGGAACCGGGTACTTGGGAAAGCGTCTAGTTAAGGCAAGTTTAGCACAAGGTCACCAAACTTATGTGCTACAGAGGAAGGAGGTTGGTGTTGATATTGAGAAGGTGCAACTGCTGTTATGGTTTAAGCAGCTAGGAGCTCATCTCGTCACCGGTTCCTTTAACGACCACCAAAGCCTTGTGAATGCGGTGAAATTAGTGGACGTTGTCATTTGTGCAATATCCGGAGTTCATATCCGAACCCACCAAATACTGCTTCAACTCAAGCTTGTTGACGCCATCAAGGAGGCTGGAAATATTAAGGTATTAGCACCCGCCTACGCCTGTCAAACATATATATTTATACAAATGAGAAAGCTTTGTAGGTTTCATAGAGATGTGATATTGTAAGAAATGCAACAGAGATTCCTGCCATCGGAATTTGGGACGGATCCAGCGAGAATGGAGAATGCAATGGAACCGGGAAGGGTGACATTTGATGATAAAATGGTGGTGAGGAGAGCAATTGAAGAAGCAGGCATTCCTTTCACTTATATTTCTGCAAATTGCTTTGCCGGTTATTTCCTGGGTGGACTGTGTCAACCTGGCTTTATCCTTCCTTCAAGGGACCATGTTCGCTTGCATGGAGATGGCAATCAAAAGGGTAAGACGAAGAAGATGATCGATGTACATTTATTTATGTATTTAGTTTGTTTTAATGAAACTTTGGGCATGCAGCAATATATGTTGATGAAGATGATATAGCAACATATAGCATCAAAACCATTGACGACCCTCGGACTCTAAACAAAACAGTGTATATAAGGCCAGCAGAGAACATCTTATCTCAAAGGGAAGTGGTGCAGATATGGGAGAAATTGATCGGCAAAGAGCTGCTCAAGTCTTCCATTTCCGAGCAAGAGTTCCTAGCAATAATGAAAGGTTATTATTATTATTATTTAAATTCAGATGAACAGTGATGATTTTATTTTAATTTAATGAAATGGGTGCAGAACAAGATTATGCAGAGCAAGTTGGATTAACACATTATTATCACGTGTGTTATGAGGGATGCCTCGCCAATTTTGAAATCGGCGATGAAGTCGAAGAAACGTCCATTCTTTACCCAGAGATTAAATACACAACGGTTGAGGAGTACATGAAGCGTTATTTATAAGAACATATAAACCGAAATTAAAAGAAGAAATGCTAATGTATTAAATAATTACTTGATGATAAATGTAAAAATTTTATTTATATTTTATTTGTGTGGGTTATATAAAAAATAATTGTTTAATGTACGATTAAAAGAAATAAATAATTTTATAAGTAATATTAAGGGCATAATATATATATATTTAAATTTTTATTCAATATAATCTTATTGATTCATCGAATGTCTTAGATCCAATTTGAAGTGTTATATGGTTGATGAAATTTATCATTTACCTCTATCATATAAATATTGACTTAAATTAATCTCTGGACTGAATTACTTTAATTATTTGTATTAAAAGAATCAAATAGGATTTAATTTTGACATATTTAATATTTATTATTTAAACAATGCCATATGTAATTTGAACAAATATTATATTATAATTATTTTAAACTATTTGAAAAAATATAATTTGAAGATTTATTTTGTACTTAAACGTATTGAATTCCAAGTTAAGGGCTTAAATTAAAGGAAGATAAATATAGAATGGAAAATAGAAAAGCGGCAGTGAGTGGTACAGAACACTCCACGTTAGAGATAGAGAGCAGTGAGGGTGATGAGAACAATAAATAAAATAAAATAAAAGGTTGTGACTGATTTTTAACAACGAACGTAACGGTCTCGAAAGTAGAAAGAGATGCTGTTATCAACTCCTGGTTTTGCAGTGTCTTCAGCCCAGCAGTGGATGGTAATTAAACAAACCCTTCATTGTTTACTGTTTGAAGTAGTTTATTGAAGCACTTAAACTTCTGCTTCTAATTTATGAAGAAACTCATTTTCTTCTTCTTTTTCTTTGATTAATTTCTTGTTGCTGTTCACGGTATAGTTGAAAATGACTGAAAATCAAGTGAACTTTTGATATATTGATATTTTATCCTCAATCAGCTGCATTTTTTGCATAAATTTGTACCAAATTGTAGGTTTTTCACTGCAGAAGCCATTGGACTGAAGCAGAAGCTAACACAAATGGTGGTATAAAAGGGAGAATCGGTTTTCCCCTAAATTTGGGTTCTTCAAGGAATATCAAGTTTATTAGTCGTTCAGTTTCTGAGGAGGGGAAAACCTCGATCGGATTCGATACGCCATTCCCCGATGATTACGATGACCTTCTTAGACAAGTAAGTCTGTGTATCTTACTATATGTAATTCAATGCTTCAGCCTACACATGTATGGATGTAATTTGTGTTCTGAGTCTAATTGTACTAAACATTCATTCCCAAAATCAGTATGAACATATTTATTCCTTTGGACAATATGTGTAAAATAACAGGCAAAAAGGGCAACTGAATCGGCTTTGAAGGATGGAAAACAGTTGATGGTGAGATAGCTGCACACTAATAATAATTGAACAATTCCCTGTAATGTTTGTGACACACAAGTATCTATTACAGGAGATTGAATTCCCAACAGCTGGACTTGGATCTGTACCAGGTTGTTTTCACTCTATGTTGTCTTTTCTTTTTCTTTTCATGCTTCTTTTCCCTTCTATTTCTTCTGATTATATGTGAAATACGCATCAGGCGACGGCGAAGGAGGGAATGAAATGACCGAAAGTATGCAGTTGATTCGTGAATTTTGCGACATTTTAGTAACTCCCGAGAAAGCGACACGAACCAGAATAGTAAGTGCCAATGCCAAAGTTAGTACAACACTATGTCATGTTAGAAGACCCTTTAGAGCTCATGATTTATGTGTATGAACCTCTGCTGTAAGTTTTCAGTTCTTCCCAGAGGCAAACGAAGTTAAATTCGCAAGACAAGTGTTTGAAGGGGCTTATTTCAAACTCGACTACCTAACGAAACCTTCATTCTTCGAGGATTTCGGTTTCGGAGAGAAAGTGAAAATGGCAGACAGGGTAAAGCCGGACGATGAACTGTTCCTCGTTGGTTATCCTTATTTTAACGTTAACGGTAGTTTTGAACATCCCATGTTTGTTTGTTTTTTTTATGTGCAACTCCATGAAGCTTATGTATCTTATGGCTATGCATTATGCAGAAATGATTGTGGTGGAAGAGCTTTACAAGGAAGCTGTAATGAACACCAACAGGAAACTGATTATATTCAACGGAGAACTCGACCGTATCAGATCTGGGTGTATCCTTCCCTCGGTGAATCATATGTAGTTCGTATTAATTTTGAATTGGCATAATGATGAAATTAGCCACTTACGTTTCCCTTATTCTTTTTTAGAGCATTTTAACTCCTAACATTTCAATTTTTAGTCAAAATAGTTTGTTGGACGAAAACCATTAGCTGACAAATGGTCAACACATGTTGTTGATGTGGCATTTTTACATGTTGTAATTGATGATGTGGAACATATAACGTCATCACTTTGGGTAATGAGGCACATACCATGTCATCAATTAAATACGTGTGAAAATACCACGCCAATAATAGGTGTTCATCATTTGTCAACTAACGATTTCTATTTAATATGAGCTATTTTAATCAAAAACTGAAATGTTTAAATTTAAAATATTCTAAAAAAGTTAATATGAGACAAAGTAATTATTATGCAAATATTGAGGACTGATTTTACCTTTTGAATTCAATATAATCACCCATAATAAGAATAGTTGTCCTTGAATGAGCCAAGATTATCCATCCTTCTTCTATCCTAAGCTGGCAGCACTGACCAAATCCCTCCTGCCCATGATGGAGACTGTATATTACATACATAACTTTAAGGGACGAAATGGAGGGACACTCTTCAGGTTTGCTTCATAACTTCTAGAGTAAATTACACGTTTAATATCTCAACTATCATTTTTGTTTCGTTTTAGTCACCCAACTAACTTTTTTCTTCTTTAAAATCATATATAACGTCACATTTTGGTTTCATATTGATCACCCATTGTTAACATATTAACAGGACTGCTAATGTGACTTTTTTTTCAATGATAACGTGACATTATTATGGTGACATGTCAACGTCACTGTTAGTTTTTAACGACAAATGACCAAAATAAAACCAAAACTAGATGTTATGTATGATTTTGAGGGGGAAAATAGTTGGATGACCGGAACGAAATAAAAGTAATAGTTGAGGTATAAACATGTATTTTACCTTAACTTCTATTTTCTTGCGGAATTTTCTAGATTTTTCCCCCTTACGACTAAATTGAACAACTTTTGTTGGTTTTGAAATAGATGTTATCCAGGACCTTGGAGAGTGCTTAAAAGGGTGGGGAATGAGTCCTTTTGTGTGCATCAGCAGGAAACAATGCCATCCCTCAAGGAAGTTGCCTTGGATATTCTCCCTTCTGCTTGACATTTGAGAATTGCACCACTGCACATATCAATCCGCCATAGCATCATGTAAATATGACGGTGGAAATGCCCGATAAATCAAACTTCTTTTCTGGAAGAAGAAAAACAGTTAAAAACTTAGCTTGTTGTCTCTTCTGTTTAGTACTTGACTATTACTTTTGTTATGTTTTGGTATTTAACATTATTTTTTTTTCAAAATCATACTTAACAAATTATTTTAGTTTTCATTTTGATAATATATCGTTAAAAACTTGATGGTAATATTTACATGTCACCATAAGATAATGTCACATCATTAAAACAAATTTTAATATAAAATTTATAAATTGTCCTTTTAGAAGGGATTTATAAAAATCTTTTTACAAGGATAATTTTACAAGTGATACCACAAACTTATGATTAATGATTATTTCATTTTTTTAAATATGTACAATTTTAAGAAATATTTTTTGTAAAACTAAAAACAGTTTTGACAAGTTTTAACTATATTAAATATAAATAATATCATCCTAATCTAAATTAAATATACTACCCCAAATATAAATATTTGCTAAATTCGAATACCGAATGCGAAATTTACCACCATTTAATCCTTTTGCCTGAAGAAATGGGTCTTGAATAAGTTCTAAATCGATTTACTGAATCCAACTGCAATCAAGTTGCCTAAAAGGCAATACTTTTCACGACATTTATAGAATAAGATAAAATGATGACATTAACAATCCCATCATCCTTCTTATCCTTTTTGATGATGTTCCATTTTGTTCAGTGTATTTTTGGATTGATATATCTCTTAACAAAAAGCCAACCAAAGAAAAGTATAAACAAGCCTGCCGACCTTATAATTCCGTTTTCCTTTCACTACTGGTAAAAAAAGTAGGGGCATCTTCCTGTTACTGTTAATGACAGAAAATGCAAATGATATATGAATATATCAGAACAAATGATTCATATGAATATATCAGCTGTTATAGAGAACAATCATGATGTGTCCACGTCCAGCTTCGGAACTATGGCAGATGATAGCTCGATATGAGAAACACGAACTGCACCAACTAGCCGTTCTGGCAGCTCATCCGTCGTATTTGCCTGTGGGGAGAAAGAGGACGTGACACCACTTTCAAGCCAACATACATACAACACAAGTGAATAAAAAAATCCCAACTATGAGTTAATGCCCCATGTCTAATTTCTGGAGCATTCTAAGTAAAAAAATGGGCAATGCCCTAGACAGCCCTATGACTCCAGCAGTTCGCCCATAAATATGAGGTAAAATTACAACCCAAGTCCAAAAAAGCATAACCCCCTCATGTAAATATGATATATTCATTTCCCCTGCATGCCATTAATAATGAATGCAATGTGTACTGCAACACTGATTGCTTCAGCTTATGCTGCTTCCTATTAAATCCCTTTGCTCGGCAATCAATATTAAAAGCATATATTTTTTCAATATAGAGCTTTGAGATAACTGATGTTTTAGAAGATTCATACCTGTACAAGGAAAGCCATGTCAACCACCAGTGTCTTAATTACACCAATGACAAGCCCCAAAACTCCATTAGCAACCGTAGAAGAGCCTATGTCAATATCAACCTACAGAGTGAAAGAAACAAGAATACCCATATCAGTAACAAGCATTTGCAGCTCCACTATTATCATGTTGAGTTAATATAAAAAGAGAAGACCTTCGATTAATGCAACATTGAAGTATTAAAAAATATCATAACAATGCTTACTTCTAAGTACTTGGGACCACGAATATAATTACAATCAACTGCTTTACCCAACAAACAAGGGGTGCTACCAACACTCTGCCGCACAATCCATGATCCCTGTAAAATTCAATGCCAACGAATTAAGAACAAGTTTCAAAGGAGCAAAGCTAGAAATAGTATTAAGGCGCAATGACTGACCCCCACTCACATTTTTTTTTCTCAACAAAAACTAACCATAATATTTAATCCATAAACAATCCCCACATTTTCATTTATGATAGGGCAAAAACGTTAATGTAAATAGTAATCAGGCTAAAAACCGAAGACGGGCTGCCTCACACTTATAACTTCCACCACATTCAACATACATTTCTAGATCAAGAGCCCAACTGATTGAAAAATGTTTCGGAGAGAACACTTCAACCCCAAAGATATTTACTTCCACATTGTGAACCTCAACACCATTACAGTCACTATCTTTAACCACAAGAAATCCATTGTTTTCCACTTCTTTGGTGTCAACTTCAGTAACAGATGGTTCTGTACTTTCTTCTTTTGGAATATCAGAAGCTTCTGAAAGAGGATCTGATCCTTCAGCAGGCTCATCCCCTTTCACAATTGCCATGGGGATACTTCCAACTTCATGACTGTTATGAACCGTTCCAAACCTATTGGAAGAATAAGGATCTAGATTGTGCAACTGTCTGTTCATCCAGTCTCTCGTTGATTTTAAAATATCCACGAAGCCCTTCATAGCTTCAAGTTTCATGGTTGCTTCCTGGTGTAGCAATCCATTGACCGTTCTTTCAAAATATGGTTTTGAAAAATTGACATCACAATCATAGTTTACAAAAATATTACCAAGGTCTGAATGAAAAAGATGAGTTTCTACAGAAGAAGAGTCGTCATCTTTTGCTGAAACTTAGGTTGAGCAACATTTTCCAAGACCCTGAGTACAATCATATGGGGGGGGGGGTAAAAATAATCCAATCTTGACTTTCAGGCCATCTCAAAACCTTAACACCAGACTAAAGAAAATGAAACAAGAAAGCAGGAAAACTAGCATGTGAGTTGAAGCACTGTTTGAACATAGATTACTAAAACGACATAAGTTCTGTCTCAGAGCAAAAAAGTACTAGACCAAGAAAATCAGCAAATTCAACATTAATTCAACCCAGGGACGAAACCAGGATGAAACTATGGGAGGGGCCAAGTTGCTTAACTTTGAAACTAACAGGGTCCTAAAAGGTAATTAAACCAAAAAAAATCATGTATTTTCATGTTAAAAACCTTTATAAATTGTGAGAATGAAATGCACACAAGTATAAATTAGTTATAATTACATATTTGAAAGGTATAAGAAGATGAAGTTCAAATTGTGAGAATGAAATGCACACACCAAGTATAAATTAGTTATAATTATATATTTGAAAGGTATAAGAAGATGAAGTTCAAATTCAAAAATAAATAGGCACAATAAATCCATAAATTTGAAAATAACCAAGAAGGTTAGATTTGCAAGCATTTTTTTACACAACTTTAACTTTACAAGCCAATTTTATTAAAAATCAAGTTCCCAAAAGGAATCTTCGTGTTCCTAAAGTACAGGAGCTCTTTGGTCCAATGTACTTACTGTTTCTATGATGAAAAAGTGTTGAGGCCTAATAGACAACAAGAATTAAAAGACAAGAATTATGGAAGCACAATTAAAATGAAGACTGCTTCCAACTGACTCAATCACCATGATTTGAACATTTATCAAACTAATGAAGAAAGATACCTTTGGTACTGATGGAATAAGCTTCAGTCTACTATTGCGAAACTCATCATCGCCATCAACAAATCGCTGCAAAAGAGATCCGGGTACTAGTTCCTTTGTCACAAAATAGAATACCATACTATAATGTGTTGAGCCAGGAACCTGAAACAAATTCAACATTATACACTCAACATTACCATCAGTCTAAGATATCACCTGCATTATGAAAACTTACTTGAACATTGAAGACCAAAGAGAAAAGCCCCTTCTCTGAAGCAACCTACAAAGAAAGAAGCGACAAAGAATCAAAGAATAAAATATACTCCATAATGGAATTAATGGATTTCCTACATCAATAAAGTTGACAGTGACAACACAAGAAGAACTTTAAGCGGTATATGCTTAGGGTCTTACAAGAAATACAGGTGAACCATCAGTTTTGATCCAAAACAAGCAACCACAGAAACTTGGTCAGGGAAAAACATGATTTTGTAAGTTAAATGATTCCCTACTCGTTCCCTTTTTCCCCCAGAAAAAAGAAGGTATCATGTTTACAGTAATAATCTAACCACATTAACCTAACTTGAAGCTCCTTTTACTAAATCAACTGGATCAAGTTTATCCTTCATTGTTTCCATTAAAAAAAAGGTATCATGTTTAGCTTGTACATAATGTCGGGTATAATTTATCTAATAAAAAATGTGAATATGTTTAAACTTTACGGGTTCTATTCTAAATATACTATTACAGAAGTTTGATGTCCTAGGTTGAAGACTTAGGAAGCAGATTGGGTGGGAAATGGAAAAATTTTGCAACCTAATCGATTAACGTAACAAGTAATTATGATATGCAACTTGCATACCAGAATCCAATTTGAATAACTACTATGCAGCTTGTGGAGTTAGCACAGCAAGGTAATATAAGTGAATCCAGTGCAACCAGATTCCATATGTAATAAAATGTTCACCATGATTACTAGTAAAGGTTTGGACAACATTGCAGAGTTGAGAAACCATGCATATCAAGTGCAGCTGAAATCACTTAATATACCCACCAGATACAAACATTAAATAGGCAAAAGACTCACTTGTGCAGCACAACCTTGACGCCTGGCAACATGATCTATTCTTTTTGTGTCTTTAAACCAATCAACAGCAACAAGATCCATTAAATGCTTTCCCGCAGGAATCTTCATTGCATATAGGGCGAAAAGATAACATAACCAAGACTTCAGATATCAATTTGGATGTAAAAATAGTTAACAGAAGAAATAAGCACAAGATTCTAACCTTTGATTTGTTGTAACAAAAATGCTTGCTACGTACTCTGAAATTGTTACCATCCGATATTCTCCAACAGTCACAAGAATTATCACGGTCATCACGCCGTAGATTACCAGAAAAGCATGACAAATCAATTCTCTCAACCAGTTCTTCTTCCAGGGCTTTAATTCAGAAAATATATTGTATATTGAGATAAGAAGTCAGTCTATAAATTAAAAATCTTACCAATCACATAAAACAAACCAATGTAACATTACTAGGACCCACCTGTTCTCTTGATATCATAGTCACTTTTAGTAGGATATGCCTGAAAATTTAAGGGAAATAAGAAACCCATAGGTAGTTAGGAACAAGTCAAACAGAAAATTTATAAAGATCGTGGCAACACAACCTCTTGTTCTGCTTCAAGCATTTGTTCTTCATCCTCATCGGAGTATTCATCCATCAACAAAGAGTTTCGGCTTGCAGCATTCATTTGATCAAGAGAAGCAGTGAGGGGAACAGATAACTCATCTATCTTTTGAGTTTTCTTCAAGGAAACTGAAGCTGAAGCCATATTGACCATAACTGGGATTCTAGGAGGTGCACCTCTTTCATCTGTTTGGGTAAACCATTCACGCAATCCTGTCATAAGAGGTAAACAACAATCTTAAAAGAGGTAGACAAATAGAGACTGATACTGGAACGAACAAGATAGGAATGGAATTCTCTTAACATCCGCTTGCACCATTATTTCCTTTTTCATCTTCAAGTTGTCCACTTGGACAGGTGTGCGAAATCAAGTTGTAAAACAGGTATCACAATAAAAACAATATATTTTCCTTTTTCTTTTCATTGATTGAAATAATGAGAACAAAAAAGGTCATCCATGAAAACAAGGAAAAGAATCCTAATTTCAATGTGATGTCAAATTTTCAGAATTCTGCAAAATTTTAACATGCAAAATAGAGGGGGGGGGAATCTCACCAGCAACACTATTTAACATCTGAAGCAGACAGTGTTGCTGAAATGATGAAATACAATTCACACCCCATCCTTTTAAATCAATCTGCATGAGATGCTGCACCTGTGTTCTAGGCTTCCCATTTCGAGATTTCAGAGGGGAAATGTTGAACCCTCCACCTGAGAAAATTAGAACCAAATCAGACACTCATCTTTTAAGTCTCAACACAGCCATTCACATAGAGCTTACTCTCCACATGAGCCCGCACATGTCCTGGTTGTGGGCCGCAATTCTCATGCTCCCTAGAACGAAATAATACAACTGCAAAAATAAAAAAAACAAGAAAAAGGGGGAATTTCAGAAACTAGAAAAATAAGCAAGCAGATCAATAAATAAGCAAATCTAAAAAGGTTTACCATAACTGCCATCATCATTTCGGCGCCAATAACGCACATAGCAAAGGTCACGGGGCCAGACAAACCTGCAAAAAATGGATCCATAAACTAGAAAAGTTTCCATACTTCATGAGCTAAGAGGAGGTGGGATCTTTTGGAAACTGAAGCATAATATTTAGAAATATTCTACAAGGTTGCATAAGCAACCCTCAACGTAGTGAACAATGTTATAATAAACCTTGGATAACAACAGTAGGTGGCTCACTCTCCTAATAGTAAAGTAAAAATTTAAAATCCTTCTTTGTCATCTAGAAACAAACATTTAACATACTTATGTGTAACTAATCGTACAATTAAGAATCAATTTTATATGGAAAACCCATCAAGTCTTCATCAATCTTATTGACAACCCACACTAGATTACTAAGCCAATATTTCTGCAAAATACCAAAGCTAGTGGGGAAACTCCCATAATGCAAAAATCTTCATTTCTTGTAAACAAACCAGCACATCCTCAGCCCTCCACACTCGATTTTTTTCGTTATTTCGGTTCTCACTTGCTAGGTATTTCTGTTTTTTCCTTGTATTTTATTGATACAGTTAAGTTTCATCTTTCCTCATTTCTTCTTTTGATGCTTACACACACCCAGCATGCTGGGCCTAACAAGTCCCTTTCTGGGATTTTCTGAATGCACTGACTTGATAAAATATATTCTCAATAATCAAAGTTGGCATTAAAACAAAGAAACAAGCTAAAAGGGAGTCCATTTGTGTTCTAACAATTTTGGTTCCGAAAATGCTGGCATGCTTCAAAAGATACATTATCAATACAATAAAACCATAAACATAAATGATTTAAATAGGAGAGAAAATATTACATAGTAAACCAGTCCAACTGAAGCCTGTGATAAATTATAGCTGTATGTCCATCCACCTCCTCAACTAAACTACCGTACTGAAAACTACAATCCCACCTGAAGAAGGATAAATACTATAAATATGAAATATGGATAGTACACAAACTATGTAGAAGTAAAAGGTCTCACAAATTGTGTGGATACCCAAAGCTATGCACTTTTGTTTCATGCATTAAAAAAAATTAAACTTAAATATTTAATTGGAAAGGAAACCTACTCAAATCGAGTTCCATCCATGCTCATTACAAGACCAAATATTTCCTCACACGAAGCTTCCACAACACCTACTGCCTTCATCGCCCTACTACAGCTCCTTGGCTATATAAAGAAAACATAAGTTATCATTTACACCCAAAACATGTTTATGCACTGAAAAATAAATAAATAAATGCAAGGCACAAAGCAAGAAATGAAACAACACTGCCGTACAAGGTAATCGACTTCAAGAAGCTCTTCAAAAATGCGAAGTCCTGCCATATCAAAGAAAATGATTGTATTCAGTAGGATCCACCAATCCCACTTCAGTATTGAGGTAATTAAATACCCCTCCACTACATATTACTTTTTGACTTGGACTTAACTTTAAAGCCAAAGTGGAATAATCAATGAAAAAAACTAACCGTTTTGGCATTGAAGGAGGCGCCAATGTTTTCTAGAAAATGATTGGTTGTTGGCATTTTGATTTGATAGTTCTGTGTCAAATTCCTGTGTCCAGTCCAATACTGAATCTGGAGGACCTGACATTTTATAGAAATATTGAGATTTTGATAATCGAGTGAAATAGTGAAAAGTAGAAGACAAAAGGAAACAAAGTGAACCATTTCCAATTGTTGTTCTCCTAAGCAAAGTTTTTGGAGGAGCATCATCTTCATCCTCTGGTGCACTAAACCTTAAGGGGAAAAAAATAAGAAAATTAAAAGTTTTGCCAAGGATCATTAATCACGTGTCTTATCATTAACCTAAAAGACATGTGAAGCACTACGAGCAGAAAATTGATGGAAGTTGAGTATATGGGGTTGGGGATCAAATGGGTGTTTGGTTAGATGAGCTTAAAATTTTATTAGGTAAAAAATTATGCGCTTATAAGAAGACTATTGGATCAAATTTCTCTAAATATCCAAATCAATAATAAAATAACCTTGAAACTTTGTATTAACAATTTCTTTTTTACTTTCTGGAAGAGAATTCTATCCATTTTGGAAGAACTTTAATGCATATTAGTTTTTAATTAAAAATTAATAAATATTTGTATATTTTCTTATTCCCAAATCCATATCAACGTCATGTCATTTCCTTATATTCTAGAAATTGATGTCTCGATGTCACCATGTTCGTGTTGTGTACCTGTGTACTATATGCACCACTTGATATTCAACTCTAACCAGAATATTACTAAAATGACTTGGGTTGATGTTTAAAATATGAGTGTATTTACCTGTTCCAATCATGAAATATTTGTATAATTCATCTATGCTATATTGTACAAATTGCAAACAGAACTTAGAAAATTTAAGACATGAAATCCCACAAAACCCAATACGTCTTTTTATCACAAATAATATTCTAATCTTCCCCCACTTATTAATGACAATTATGCTCTACCCTGAGGATTTGATCCAAAGACTTCAATGCACTGAGGTAGTTGAACTGTAGCTCACCCGAGTCGCCACTAAAGTAATAAACATTCAGTTATATCAACATGCACAGTCAACAGCAAATAGAGTACTTACTGACTTTCATGATCCGATGAAGAAGCATTCCTCCCATCATCCATTCCAGATTTATATTCAAAAGAAACATATTTGTTGCCATTTGTAGTTTGCGAATCTTGATGCTGAACATGAAAACAAAATGTGAAAGGAAAGTCAAAATATTCATGGTAACAGATAATATGCAGACAATATATTCACTTCATAACGAAAAATGTGACTCCAAAACAATTCAACAGATTTGGTGAGAGATAATCAATTTCAAAACACAAATCCACAACATGGAAAGAAAGCAAGAATTAAGTGTTAAATATGCACCTGATCAATTACAGACTCTATTTTTTCCTTCCAGATTAGGGCTTCCTGGATGTTGAATGCTGCCATCTAGAAAGAAGAATGCAGACATGGATCACAGAGGCCACATTGCAAATCCAAAACATGTGTAAGATATGCTCGCACAATGGGAGAAAACTGAAGCAGATAGTAATATCACTTCTAAAACAGATATTACTCTAGTTCCATCCTTAAAAGTTTCCAGTCCCATATACCCATATATTCAAGTTATATCCTTACTATAGAGAGGCTAACTTAATTAGGAATAAACCCAACCATCAAGCACAATCAAAGCAGACTCCAAGCATAGTCTTAGATGGTAAAACCAATCTATGCTAATGTGACTTAAGTCCCTTTGCATGTAACAGAAATACCAATGTTCATTTGTCAAGTACATGCAATAAGTAATTCAGCTACAGCAAACACTGCATTCCTACAGCCTTCCTTAATTGATGCAGCTAAGAGCCTAAGAGAGAAGATGTCAAATTGAATAACTAACCAGGCAAACTCAGACTACTAAGCATCAAAGAATATCCATTCAGTTACAATTTCTATAAAATGAAAAAAAAACTACAAACCGTGATTCTGTTGTACTTCTCTTTCTTGTTGTAAACTGACAAAACATAAACCATCTGCAAAACATAGATCATAAGTTAAGATGAAGTACAAAAGGCTATTTTATCTAAAGGAACACATTTCACTGTGAACCAGAGTATAAGGGCTACTTGAACATTACATTTTGCAATTAGGATTACATGGACAATCAATCATACACTGAGACAGCAAGTGAGAGCGTGCATGAGTCTCTTGATGAAAGAAAGAGAGAAAAACAGGAATGGAGCAGTAAAATGTTTGAAACAAAATATAAACATTACAATTATGAATAAGGACACTCCCAAATCACTAGATCACAAGAATAGAACACACAATAGTAATCAGTGACAAGAGAAATGCTGGTTATTGCGACAACAACTCACATGTCCATGTTGGGTCTTCAAGCCTCGGTCCTCCACTCTACAGTTTCCATCTATCAACAAGGTCTTGATTGGAACCTAAATTTAGAGAACATAGGAACACATTTCACAGAAACAATAGTCAAAAGAAACAGAAATATTTCTCAGAGAAAACAAAAATAAGTAGTCCTCTGCTTTCCTTTTCCCATACAGTATGAATCTACATATATCAAACAGCTTTATCAACAAGATGTTCATGATATTACATAAAGAATTGCAGCAACAAGTCATCAACTGTTCCATTACTAAAATAAAAGTTAAATCAGACAGAACTGCATTTAATTTAAAGTTCTAAAAGCTACTTCTCTTTTCTTCGGTCCAAAAAGATAGCGAACTAAACCTGAACGAAGCATAAAATCCTCCAAAAACATGTTTAATTCCCTAAGAAAAATTAAGAACTCTCGAAGAAAATAATTAAAAAACCTGATTAACTTGCGGCTTTCTCTTGTAGTAAGCTAGAAGCCGATTTTCGAGCACGAAATATCGCATGTGTATGAAAGATCGCCCGATCTTCCTTCGTCCATATCTCACCATCCATCCTTCGCACACCACTTTCGACATTCCTTCCCTCTCAAAATTCCACTATCAACAATCAAATCCCCAAATTACTATTCCCCCATTATCCTTTGACCTTTCATCGCCTCATACTTCGTCGTAAAAACCGATTAATCGGCGAATCGGTAGTCCTTAATTCTCAAATTTAGAAGAGTCGGGAGAACTCTATTTCAACACTGCCCGAAAACCGCAAAACAGAAATTTGACTTTGTATACTACGATGACGAGGTAAGATAATAATAGGCGACAACAAAAAAAGAAGCTAGATAGAAGTCAAAATATGGAACAACAGTATGCAGGATCAAGTGAAGTTTTGTTTGTCAATTGAACACTAATCTTAAGAAGAAGAGGAGCATGAGGAGGAAGAGAACTAATTTTGAAATCAGAAATAATGAAATAATATATTTTTTATTTATTTTAATTTATGGAGTATTATTTTTGTACATATATGCCAAAGAAAAAGTTGGGAGTGTGGGGATAAGTCTAGGAAACAGACATCTAAGGTTAGGTAGTGTGTTGGGAATAGTGATGAAAATGAGTCGGGCGTATATATATATATAAATTCAATTTAAATTTTGAATTTATTTTTTTACATAATACTTAATTTATTGTTTGTGTTAATCAAATTAAAATTTCAATTTATTATATTAAATTTAATTAGTCTTATCTGCATTTGAATTTATTTAGTTATGGGTTACATATTTAAATTTATTAACTTTAATATTTAATGTAAAAAGAGTAAAAATAAAGTCCTTATGAATTCAATATTTCAATTAAAAGTTATTATTTCAAATTATATTGATATTTTATTCTTATAATATTTTAAAAATTACAAATTTAAAACTATTTAATCATTTAATAGCTTTTTTTAAAAAAAACGAGCACTTCATTAAGTAAAAAGTTGAGCACTATATCAAATTTAAGTATCATATTAAAAAAGTTAAATAATTGATGTCACTATGTTGATCTGTTTTACTACAAATTATAGTTAAAATATGTAAATGGTAGTTATCCAAATCCCAAAACAAATCCTAATAAATGTCTGAATTTTCAGGGTCAATTATGGATCCCTAATTCAAATACGACGACGCAAATGAGTAAGGCGACGGTGCAATCGAGTTTTTTTCATACGGATCCAGATTTGATATATCAGATCAATTAAAATAATTAAGAATTTTTTTAAAATTTAATTATCAGTTAATTTAATTTAAAACTGATTAAATTATTAAACTAGTCAAAAATATTAAATATATTATATGTATTACATGTATTTTTAAGTTCGAATATATTAAAAACTAAAATTTAATTATTTTTAATCACATTAGATTTATTAAATTTTCAAAATCCATGTAAATTTTAATCCAAATAAAAATATTTTTATTAAATAAAAAATAATCTAACTAAAAATTTTAAAAATAATTATTAATTTGATCTTGATTTAATTAACTAAACTTTATTTAATTCAATTAATTATTTAAAAATAATTAAATTAATAATTAAAAAATAATTAATTTAATTATGATTAATTCGATTTCATCCATAGTCAAATTAAGAATGCCCTACAATTATCCACTAGTATTTATGAAGGCTTAGAACTAAGGTAGCGGAGTAGTGTTGTCTTAGTTTAGTTTTAACTCATTTTGACTTTATTCATTCTCGTAGCTTGCTATCGTTGACTTCTGCATATCATTCTCTTTCATGTTTCCTCTTTTTAAATTTAGTCAGGTCTTACGTTTCTGTCTATATGCAGATATTTTTTATGCAGGGATTTATTTGCAGGGATTACTTCAATTACAGACGCATATATGAAGAAAGCTTATGAAGATTGTTCAACTATGTATTTATTTATTTATTTATATATACATTACACTTTATCTTTATTTTTACTTTTTTGACTGTCGAAATTTTTTTCGAAAACTGCTCTCAATTTGATGTTAAAGACAACCTACTATCCTTACTCTATTACATATGTGAATAAGATTTTGTTGTTGTTGTTGCTGCTGCTACAATTCTCCGCTAGGCTTTGCTAAATCTGGAAAAAAAATATAATACAGGGCTGACTTAGCACGTTGACTTTCAGCCTCTGGGTAGGACTCTGAAAATATGTTTATGAGTTTAAGAAAAGAAGGAAATGGTTTGGCCCCTGGTGAAGCGTTTAATTACAAACAAGTCCCATAGCATTTTGAAAACAAGTTTAGCTTTTAGGATCCGGGGACTTTTGGCTCTTCCAAGTTAAAGCGACTTTGATCTCGTCGCATATAAAATTTGAATGGACAATATGATTCAAAAATCCTCTACCCCATATATATATATATATATATATATATATATATATATATATATATATATATATATATATATATATTTATATATTATATAATGCTCCTTTTATGTGTTTCACCACAATATTTTAACAGATAAATTAGTAAAGTAAGACTAAATTAATGGCAATTTGTCATTATCTCAATATTTTATTTTCTGTTTTAGTACTATTTAATTCAAATAAAAACAAACGAAGTAAAGAAAATCAAATTTGGGATGCGCATAAGTTTATGACCGCTTCCCTCATCGCAAGTTCTTCATCCTAGAATAATAATTGTGGTTTAATACTACTCGACGTCCTAAAAAAATTTTCAAAAAATTCAATATGGTTTATATTCTTTTCACTTGATATGATTCTTAAATTAGAAAAAAAATTGATTCTTTGATTAGAGAAATCGAACGTTGATTCATGGTGTTGATGTGACAATTCACGGTATTAATATACTAGTTTATAGTATTGACATGACGGTTCGTAGTGAATGATATCATAATAAATAAGCAAAATTAATTTTTTTAGTCGAGTTTGAGAGTCAAATTAATTCTTTAAAACGATTAAGAGTTTGTTTAATTTTTTAAAATAAATAAATAAATATAAAACTAATGAAAATAAAAATAAAATTACTAGAAGATACTAAAATAATGGCCGGAATAATACATGTGGGGAATATTTTTTCCCAAAATAATGCCCTTTGCTTATTATTTCCTAAAATAAGTTACTATGTATCTTAACTATGTTAAGAAAGTCTCGACCAATTCTGTAATAATTTCTTTATATAAGTATTGATGATATGATTGTATGATAATGAAATCATGTTTAGTATCCGTACATATATGATATAAAAGTGTGATATCTTTAGTGATGCTTGACATTACATAGTTATGAGACCATTTGTGTACTTTATCTTTATTTAAATAAATAGAAATATTATTTTTAAGATAAACGTGAAGATTGAAATTTACATAAAATGAAATAATATAAATATTTTTAACTATTCGATCAAATAGATCTAAGAGATTTTCAATTCCAATTATTCACACTTTACTCAACTACATTTACACTTATCATTTTTTTATGGACCATCTTTTATTTAATTATCTTTCATTGTAGGATTCGGTAGATTTGTCAAAGATTATAATAAAATATATAAATGGTCGAACATGGCTGAAATATGAGTAAAGAATGTAAATGGTTGTAGTTGACTGAAGGATAGTAAAATAGGAGATTTAAGACTTAAGAGGGGAAGAATTAATTCAAGTCTACGTGTTTGCTTCCTTGCAATTTGCAAATGATAAATGACGTTTAATTCTAGAAGAGCGACCAACTAGACTAGTTGATGACATTTTAATGTTATCATTAAACTTTTAATTTTATCAATTATAACATTAAAATTTTAAGTTTACATTTAAGTATGTCAAACTAATATTAAGTCACTAATGAGACAATGACATGACTAACAATTATTAACATAACCTATTATACCAAAACGATGTCGTTTTGATATGATTGTTCTGATGCAAAAAACAACATCATTTTAGATACTGAACTTTAGGGTGTATCGGTTTTTCTATCGAACTTTTAAATAATTTATTTTTTGGCACTGCAATTTTTGACATTCGTTGAAAGTCAATCACCAATCGTCACCGATCGTCTTTAATGGCAAAATTGATACTAAAACGTTCGCATTTCACTCCCCATTCTTATAGAATTATTTTTAAATGAAACACACTCAAAATATACGAAATTAAACAAAAAAATTATCTATTTTTATGTTTGAAGACTTTCTTAGATTTACGGGATTTGGGATGCTTGTTTGAAAATCAAAACAGTGAGAAGCATTCTTTCGAGAAGGCGACCAACATACCTTAAAACTAATCTCAGCGAACAATCATTGAAAGATATCGAAATATTAATACGTTGAACTTTTAAATTGACGATCCTAGAAGAAGAAATAGGAGTAAAATGTGAACGTATGGTACTGATCTTTCACAAGAAATATGACTAATAACGGGCGATGCTTGGCTGTCCACGACGGTCAGAAATTATAGTGATAAAAAAGTAAACTATTTAAAAGTTCAATGGTAAAATTGATACACGTGATAAGTCAAATATTTACATGATTTTCATATATAAATTTCTATGTTTTAATATTATAATTTATCTCCAAGTATTTGTTTTGACGATTATTTGATTTTTTTCAGGTGTTTGGACGACTAAAGGATAATTCATGCATAAAAGGAAAGTTTTAGTCGGATTTGGACACTTGAGATATTATATCGAACAAGGCAAAAGCACTTATTGAATAAGGTGTGTCCACGCCTCGACAAAAATTTAGAGAAAAAGAATTCTATCAAATTGCACTTCTATCTTTATTTTATATTTAGATTAGATCAGATTTTGAGTTGTATTTTAATGCAACTCATTATCCTCATTGATATAAATGATTTCTACTATAAATAGTTACAAAGGGAAGATAGACAACATGTCATTTTACTATTCCTTTTTTTCTTGTCGTCGATTACACCATTGTCGCCTATCCCCCTCCATGAGTTGCTAAATTCCTCTTTTTAGTTAGGGTTTGATTCAAGGTTATTAATACAAGTTCTTAGTGAGATCTCTTGTTCTTTGTCTATTTCAAGTATCTTTATATCTTCTGAGCTTATTGTTAACTATGTAAAAAAGATGTATTTTATATCTATTTACTTGGATGTTTGGTTGAAATCAAGAACATTTAGTTGTATTTATTTATTACATTTACATTTCTAAAGTTTATCTTTACGCGTTATTGAAATATTAAAATATGATGTCACTTGTGGTAGGGTTGTTTTTGTAGTGTTGTACGCAGGAATCAGTGTGATCGCCATGGAAACAAAGGGGAAATCTAGAGTCTAAGTTGCCGAGGTAAGTTGAAGGGAGGAAGAAAAGATCTACTCATTATAATATCCAGCCAACCATCATTTCCATCCAGCTATCAGCCAGCCTGTCAGTTCTCAATATTTAGATTAGGATCAGATTTTGAGTTGTATTTTAGGAGATCGAATTCAATGAAACAAATTAAGGGAAAGGGAATAAAGACAGTGTGATTTAAGGAGATTAATTTAAGGAAAGCAATCAAGGATTTTGTCTTTAATTTTTAAAGGGTCGGATTACACAAAGAAAGAGAGGAGATCGGTAACAGTTCTTTCTTTCTTCCAATTTCCTTTTTCGAATGATGGCTGCCATTCTGGCAAGAAATTTATTTTCAATGGATCAAGTTTTCAAACGAAGCTTGGACGATGAAGCTGTCACACCTTGGCAAATGAACACGCGAAGGGGGATTCTTCATCCATTGCTTCTTTGTGTTCTTTACTTTCTCTAACTTTGTTAAGTCAAAATGACTGCATGTTACTTTTACACTTTGTTGTTTGAGTGAGTCCTTGAGTCTTGTCTTTATTTGTCGAGCGATTGATATTTGAAGTGGACGGGAGTGTGTAACATTTATGACGTGGAAGATCTCGACGTCCTTATAGACTCACGTTGATATTTTGGATCCGGACAGAGTTATCGCTGCACCACCAATGTATTCGACGGAAGATTCTCAACATTTAGATAGTGGTTAATTTTTCCTTGGTTCTTAGCAAGGATGCAGAGGTATTGCTAATACTCTAGAATATTACCCGGAGGTTATGTTGAGTTTGACGAGTCTCTACACTTGTGTGGAGTCTTATTTGCCTTGTGTGAATGGCGAAAGTTATCCACACTTGAGGTGATGATTTCATTGTAAAAGATTTTTAATGTGTAGCATCTTAAGGCCTAGAGGTATTTTTCTGTTTTTGTATTTGATATAATTCAATGGTAAACAGAGGTTTCTCCGTGTGCTATTTAGCGAGAACCTCGACATTATAGTCGAGCGGAGTCACCTCCGTCATGTCTAGGAATGGTGACTTCTCCATGTTAAGGCTCTCAATGCTAACTGTGGATATATTAATTATGTAACGGTTGAAGCGTTACAGGTGGATGCAAAGCCTTTTCTAAACCATTTTATCAATATTCTGTCTAGAATGTAAGGGAGCATGACGACTCATGTAGAAACTTCAGAAGAATATATCATCGTCTCGACGCTATGGAAGGGTAACGGAGGCATCTTGACTCTATTGGCTGGTTACCGATATCATTGACCATAATTATAGTAGCATAAGGTAGGGCAGAGGTTTCTCAAAGTTAGCATGAAATTAGTAGTGAAAGATGGGGAAAAAATGACATCTTTCAACGTTCTTTCATTTAACTATTATTTCTCCTGCTACGAAGAACAATATATATAATGTGTTTCCAGTCTAGTCCTTGTTATGACTGAAAGGTAGAGCTAATAAGATCAATGAAATTACACTGTTTGATCATAAGAACACGACGCCTTCTCCCAATCCAAGAAGTCGTCCATGGTGGATCACCCGAGACGACCCGGTAGCCTGCGTTCGCGTACAATGTGCGAGCGCCGGAGTCGTCTTCGTAAGCCCGAAGGACAAGATACTTGAAACCCCATAAAACTGACAGCACCTCACAAGCTTTCAGCAAACAACTACCGATCTTCCTCCTCCTGTTGATCAACCATAGTTATAGGCTTATAGCTCACTTTCAACCGCAACAATCTAACGAGAAAGACACATTGAAACATTATTACCGAAAGCATTTCGAAACAGCGAGTCCCGAAACATAAAGATATTCCTCGGTTCCGTGAAGGTGTCGAAGAACGTCATTGTCTCGTAACGCCGTGACATCCACCACACCCACCAGCTTGGCATCCGACGGAGACTCCGCCACTAAACATGCATACCTGTTTCCGACCACACACATATATTTGATTAATTAGATTAGCATTCATGTACTAAGAGAAGTTACTTGTATACCTGGTTGGAGGTGAGTTCCTAAGTTTGTACATCAGCCCTGCCAGTACCTCCGCCTGTTAATAAATAATGATAGCATTAAACCTCTTAATTTGTTCTATTTTCTGTTTTATATTTTTCCATATTTAGGAGTAAAACTAAAAAAAAATCCTTAATTAAGTATTCCATTACATTAATGCAGCATTTAAACTTGGGATATTCATGCATTTGCCTGCTCATATATTATCGATAATAAATTTACATGGAATGCTTAAGGTCTAATTTGGACCTACTAATAACGTTATATAAATAGAGGATCCAAATTATAAGAAGGAAATTAAATTAAAGGAATAAAATTCTACATTTTAACATAGTAGAAGGACTGAAATCATAATTAGACCAAACACACATGGAAAGAAATCAGAGTAAAGAGTAAAGGAAGAAGGAAAAGAAACCTTGAAGAACCGAAAGAATAAATCATCGAAGAGAGGCATTGGTTGATGGAAGGCTTCAGCCTGAATCTGAGCAACTTTCCGTGTCTCGTATTGATTCTCCTCCAATCTCCTTACTTTCCATCCATTCTCACTTGCCAAATACAAAGGTTGCTGCTCCTCTTTGTCTTCCCATCTTCCATTATTATCTTCCTCTGCTTTTCCAGACAGCTCCACACTTGCCTTAGCCGACGACATCGAGCTTGAATAAGAAGAAGTAGAGCACTGCACCAGACAGCCATTGCCTTTTGCTCTTTTCTTGCCATGGTTAGGTAGCTTAATGGGAGCGTTGGTTTGATGGTGCAGGCGAGGGTGTTTCCGCACACTTGTTGAGATAAAAGACTGGTGGCGTAGAAAGTGAGCCATGATGATGCATCACTGTGTTTTCCCGAATGGAATGCATGATGGAATTGAATTGGACTTTGGCACCATCGTCTTACAGCCACTACTTTCTCTCCCTCTCGTATACATTTATTTACTAAAGTTTAGAATAATTATTTGGGTAAACTATCATTATTATTTCATTTTAGTTATTTAATTATTTTTTCTAAATCATATCTAACCTGTAATTTTAAACATTCACCGTTAAAATTTAGCAATTGTATTAAAAAAATATCACGTCGACAATTATATTAATTTTTTTTATGGTGAGTGATCAAAATGAAACAAAAAATATAACGTTAGGTAAGCTTTTAAAAAAAATAGTTGGATGATCAAAAGAGAAAAAAATAATTATTGGGGTATTATATGCGTAGTTTACCCTAATTATTTTGATATGATTCAGTTTAGTTTTTATTAGAGTCGATCCGAAAATTCATATATATAAAAAAATATATACTTAAAATAGTGATTCATATCTAATCCGAAAAAATCGGATATATGAATTTTTGAATCGTATATCTAGATCCAAATATAAAATTTAATTTTTATATTTTGTGACTTAATATAATTTTTTCGGTGTTTCTACTATATATATATATATATATATATATTTAATAACTCACAATAAATAATTAAATATCTTAATTTTTATTGGACTAGAAATTTAATGGATTAGTAGGTTACTCATTTATTGGGCTACATGCTAACTAAAATCTAAAAGCTTAATTTCTTTCCGATTTTAGGATAATCTACTATTGGAATTTATCCAATCATATTCAATTAGAATTACTCAAAAATTAAAAAACGGATCAAGTATCTGAATTTTTATATCGGATTAATAAATTAGCAGACCGAATTGATCAGATCTGATATTTTTTATACACCCAAGTGTTTTTAATAATTGAACATTTGAGTGAGAATTAGTTTTGGTTTTTGTGGTTCAAATAAATTGTTTCAATGGTTAGCGTTTTCATTTTTCAGACTTTAGTTGGTTTCGTAGGACGGTAGCAGAGAGAAATGGAAATGGAAATGGAAATGGAAATGGAAATGGAAATGGAAATGGAAATGGAAAGGGAGGAAGGGTATTTTAGGAAACAAAATATTATAATGTGAAGAGATAAGATGGGCAGCATACACTACACAAGTGCTTTTAGTAGTTTAGGGACCATAAATGAAAATCCGACGTGGTGAATTGCACGCCTAACACGTGGGGATGATATGAATTCGTGGTATTCAACAGCTGTTAATGGGGTGTGTATTTTCATATATCAAATATTATTTTATTTAAAATTTTGAATATAAAAATCCGGATAATTGTATGAACCTCAATAATTTCGGTGATAAATAAATTCGTAGTATTCAACCTCAATAATTAAAATTGTAATTTATTCTAATCTAAAAATTCAGATAATTTAAATTTTTAAATCAAATATTTAGACATCAACATAATTTTTTGGTAAAGGGAAGAGCTAAACTAACAGTCTTCAACCTTGTCCATCAATGGCGTGTTTGGCCAACTTGTTGATCCTCCTAGTTTGGCCAGCGTAGCCATCCGGTCTGCTATCATATTTCGCGTTCCTAGGTATATGGTTGAATGAAATCTGTCAATCATTCCCAAGCTTCCATGATTTGTCTTACCAGCGAGAATGACTCGTCCTTTTGATGCCTCGATTGTAGCAGCCGTGCTACTTCCAGACTGTTCGTCTTGAGGGTTGGCTTTTTTTCTTGTCATTTTGATACAAAAATCACCTTAACATATTTTAATTATCTCTCGGACATCATTTTAAAAAATTTTATTGATCTAACACATTTATAGAAAGGTGTGGATCATCATTCGTGTCTTTTTAAAATTATGACATGTGTCAGAAAGGCACAGATCACCATTCGCGTCTTTCATTATTGGATCCAAATTTCTCGGATTTTAAACTCTCCCCTTGCCTATAAATAACGCCTCCTTCAACCGTAAACATCACAACATCAATTCATCTTATATTTGCTTCACCAGTTTGTTCGATCTTTTATTGTAAGGTAATTTTTTTAATATATTATATATTTTTTATATACGATTATTTGGAAAAAAAATATTGTATTAATATTTTATTATTTTTTTTTGCGATGGTAAAATTGGAAAGTGAGATCATACGTCGAGACATTTTAACCGATACGGTAACAATATAAAATTATATTATTTAAATTATTGTTAATATTTTTTTAAAAAAATTTATTAGGTTATATTTGAATTCACATATTATTTATTTAATTAGGCGTATTTCAGCTTTTGTTTTTGCATAAATAATACTCTCAATCTTTCACTCTCAGAATGACGCATATTTCAGCTATTGTTTACTATGATGAAGATATTCGAGAAGATGAAACCGGCGTCGTGTTCGTATCAAATCATTATGTCAAAATATTTTTCAAGAGAAACATAACTATTGAGGAGCTGATAACGAAGATTTCAAAAAAGGTTCATGTTGGAATGTTGGAAGTACTAGAAGACTGTCCTCGTGTCAATATAGATTTCCATCATCGGTGTTTCCGTTAACTTATACATCGTTCGAACTATTGATCGATTACGATGTTGCAATGATGGTTGAATCTCAAAATCATTATTCAGTCTTCGATACGGAAATGTATGTAAAATTTGTTGAAGTGTGTGATGTTCGTGGTACGTCATTATGCTCCCACTATGGGTTGACTCAACAAGTTGATCAAGTAGACATCCCAACTACAGTAATGTGTAATGATTTTAACGTCATAATGGAAAATCCACATCATGGTGACATCCCATCAAGTTCAATGGAGAGACAGTTATCAGTAACTTCTTATGATCTGTACCGAGGTGGCTCCACAAACAATCCGTATGGAAACATCGCGTCCAATTCAAGGGGAAGGCATTCATCTGATTTTTTTGACCTGAATATGGAGATGCCCTCGACGCAACAATATGTGCAGTACCTATTTGACACGATGACTTCAAGCTTCAGGGGGAGGCATTCAATTGCGAGCTTATTCGACCTCAATGTCAAGATGCCTTCAAGTTCAAGGGAAAGGCATGCAACTATCAGCTTGTTCGACATAAATGTTGACAGCGTGGAGGAACCCTCGTCTCCACCAAAAGAATCTCTTCGTGAGCCAGTGTGAATGGTGATGAGATTGGACTATTTGTTCACCCAGAATCACCGCAATTCAACATAGACTCCGATGATGATGATGTAAATGAAGTTCCCACAAATATGATACTAACTGAACCTCCAACACACATGTATGAAACTGACTATGGTGCAATATACGAGCCAAAATTTAAGTATATGTCTAATGTCGGTAACTATGGATTTAACTCATCAGTCAATGATGGTGAGTTATATAAAGGAATGGAGTTTTAATGCAAAGAAGAAAGCGATGATGGCAATTAAGAATTACAATATTCATAGTTATGTTCAGTCCAGAGTCAACAGCTCTACCACCGAAAAGTATGTCTGTCACTGTGTCTAACGTGATAATGGGTGATAACGAATATATAAATCAGGTTGGATTCTACTTTACAATGCCCTTTGTATCTAGCTACGTAACTGAATCAAGCCTCGACTAAATACAGCTAGACATGAGTTTGTATCTCTAACTTAATATTGCAGATAAATTGATCTAATATATGACCTCTCTCTCATAATTTAATAAATATTATTGAAATTAATATATAAACTAATACTAACAAAATAAATAAATAAAATTATTACCAATAATTGAAATTAAAATAGAATTTAAAAAATGTTACCGTATCAACAAAATGCCTCGAGATATGATGTCCATCTAAACGAAGCAAACTGCCTTCCATTTTATAACTACAAAAAATAATAAATAATTAATATAATACAATTTAATAAAATACTAAAATATTAATTTATTATAATATAATATAATATATTACCTTCTAAATAGAATTTGATCGGGTTTGAGCTTTAAGATTATTTGGTTTTTGCTATGATTTGAGAGGATTTTGTGTGTTTGAAAGAATAGATGAAGGGATATTTATAGGGTTGGGGATGGGTTTAGGCAGATTAGGGTCATTAATTGGGAGAGTGTGAACGGATGATGATTCGCGTCTTTATGCAAATGGTATTAGATCGATAAAATTTACTAAAACGGTACCTAACAATTAATTAAAACTTATTAGGGTGATTTTTTTGGTAAAAACACATTGTTTTCTCCCCCGTCTCCATATTTTAAAAAATTAAAAATTTGTATTTTTAAACTTCATGCAATATCTTTTGTACTTCTACTATATTTATATTCACACAATAAACAGTTAAAATATGTTAATTTTTGTGATTACAATTTAATGTGTTAGTAGGTTATTCACTTATTAAGTTAAAGGCTATCTAAATTCTATAGGTAATTTTTGTCGAATTTTTTGATAACTTGAAATTGAAATTTAGTCAATTTATATATGATCAAGTTATTTATTTCTTCGAATTTTCATTTCAAATTATCTAAAAGAAATCAGTTCATATGTTTAAATGTTTAAATCGAATATATGAATTAATGGATCAGATTGCTCGAATGAAATCTTTTTACACACCCCTCATTAGTACTATGGCTAAAAATTAATCCTTTAATGATATAATAATAGTCTTGTCATGGGCTCGTAAACAGAAAAGCCTGCTTTGATCATTTTTAGCGGATCCAGTGTAATATGTATTTATACTAGAATACGATCCAGCTTATTCTGAATAATATAAATCAAAATTTAATCTACCAATTTTTCATTTTGTTTGATTATGAAGAATATGATATTTAATGTGACGCTTAAAAATAAAATAAAAAATTTAAATAATATTTCTATGCTTTGGTTATGATTATTGTTGGTACAAAATTTTATGTATATTGTTTTTTTATGTGTTTGAGGCAGTATTTACTATTTACTCTGTCTAATATTTTTTTAAGACAGTTTCAATCTCAAAGTTTTAAATTTTTTATTTTGTATACATAATTTTTAAAAA